TATATATATATATATATATATGTATATGTATGTGTGTGTGTGTTTATAAATATGAATTATTAATTTAGAAATATCATAAGTTTTGGCAAGTTGCACCACATGGCATTTTACAAACAACCTTTTGAAATTTAAAAAAGATCAAATTTTAAGAGACTTCTTGACATTGACACAGTTTTTTCTGACATGACAGTTGTGTGTGTGAGTTACCTTTGTCTGCGCTTCTCTCACTACAAACAATGAAGCTGTTTAGTTTCTTCGATTTTACCTTGTTGTTTTACCTTGTCTAGTATCTATGCTATTTTATTAATAAAAGTCACGGGGCAGCTCCGACAATAAGTTTCTGTGTGCGCGCAGCGCAATCTTCAATCTCCGACCTCTCTCCCCTCTCACTGTGTTTATGTGCAAGTGATGTGTGTGCGTGTGTGCACATCAATACCTGTGCATTAAACGGTTTTAATGCATACCTGCCAGCCAATCAGAATCGAGTATTCAGACAGACCATGGAATAATAAGCATTATTCAAGCCAATGACAAAAAAAGAAGAAAAGGAAAAAGGTTTTGAAAAATATTTATACCATTCAAGTTTACATTTCATGACTCTGAATAACATTTTACAAACAACCTTTTCTCATTACAAAAAGATAACATTTTAAGAGCCTTCTTGACATAGACACATTTTTCTGCATGTTTTTGCATGCTTAATACACCACATAACTTTTTTTGGTCACGCCACATTACTTTATTTTGGCAGACAAATTTTTCTCAAATATGCATTGAAGAAATATTAATGTTTTTAAAAGAAATAATAATGAAGGAATATGCCAAATTCCTTAAGGTTTTTATTTCAAGAGTTTCATTCTTGTAATTATTTTTCCCCTTCATTATGATATTAGGAAAATTGTACCACCCTGGTATTTTTCTTTTTGCCCCTAAATATATATATCGAAATCAGTTAATGAGCATCATGCAATTTAATATGTAATGTTGTTAATTTTTTTAAATGAAAGTTATTATCAGTTGTTAATGATTAAATCTAGCTTTAGCTTTAGAGTCTGAATGGGGGGTCCCTAAACCTGCAAAGGCTGAAAACCCTTGATATACACAATTAAAAAGAGATCTCTGAGAAGTTTGAAAGGATTGGTTGAGAGACGTCCACACTAATAAAATGAAACCATATAGGGTTTCAGTGAAAGCCCCTACTGTCTCAAACACGCTGTTTTTCTTCTCAGTAAGGCACTGTAACATCCCTAGAGACCGTCTGTGTATAAATCTGCCATAGTTTAGTCTCAAGGCACGTTGAGTGGCTGTCTCAAAGAGAAGCATACAGACTTCACATACTGCTGCAGAGGCGTAAAGAAAGAGCATTCTGGGAGAACGATGCAGCTCAGCGGCTCTTTATGTAATCGAGCGCCTGAAGGCCAAATGCTACTTTTGTGAAAGAGAAGAGGTGGCGTAGGAGAGGATGACTTGTGTTGAATGCACATTAACTTAAACGTTATTTTTTTTAATGTGCCACTTTCATTTTTCTTTCTCTCAGGTGCTTTACCTCTCTGTCTGATAAACTTCCTCTCTTTAATGTGCTCTCTCTATCTCTCCCTCGGTCTCTCTTTGATCCTCAACCTACTTTACTCCTTGCCCACGTGGTGTTACCTCTCAAAACACTTTCTGGCTTGCAGTGGGAGGCAGTGCAAAACGAGGACATATTTTACTATCTTACTTGTTGTTGATGAAGTGTGACAGAGCTTCTGTCAGTCTGTCACTCATCAGCTCACACACACACACACACACACACACACACACACACAGAGCAGCTCAACCTCAGCACTTGTAGGAAAAGTGCTCCTGTCCGTTGCTGACATTTTGTCTGCATGCTTGTTATTTTCGATTAAGCATGCATATCACCAATATGATTTTTAATCGGATGGATTTTCATATTCAAAGATTCAGTTTTGCTATTTAAAACGTCCAGATTTTTTGTAGTTTTTGTAGAAAAGGTTGAGAAATTTCGAAACTCATGAAGAAATGCATGAAGGTTCTTATTATCAGTGTGTCCTACTGCCTAAAAAGAATAGCCCCACACATGACGTGATATTGCAAGATATTATCGTGGCCACAAATTAAGAATTTGTTCCTTCACTTTAGTTAAATCATAGTCAGGAAATCGTGTTGTGCTAATTTATTCCCTCAGTTTAGTTAAAATGTGGCCATGGTTAACCTACATTAAAATAAGAGAACAAATTAATACAACATTGCCATGATTTAACTAATTCAAGGGAACAAATTAATCAAATATGGCCGTGACTTGCTAAGCAGTGGGAACAAATTCTTCTTTTGTTGAGACGACATTTATTTATTTAAAAAAAAATTTGTGTTAGTCGTATGAAAAGACAATGCAATATCCCTCACATGCTGTTAACACTTGTTATTGGTCCCTTGTTGAGTATCTTGTTTACTCATGTTCTGACTGCATCAGGAGTCAGAATCTCTGTTCTTCTTGACGGGAAGCTGAATTTCATTGCTTTTATGATGCTCGGAGATGCAGTACACTAGATCAGAGTAATGTGTTTGCCCTGGGCACCTCCATGTGTGTCTTTAATGTCTGGACTTCACTCTTGTGCTACCGTGGAAGCCCCTTCTCTTTCTTATTTCAGATTTGAGATGTCTAGCCAGAATAATACAGCCACAGAACCTCAATTAACATCTGTGTCATATATTTGTCTTGTCTGGCAGTCTCTAAACAAACCTATTTCATGTTATTTAGAGTAGTTTGTCATCTACCTGGTGATGATTGTATGATGTGCCGATAAATTCAATTTATGAGGCTCGAATTGAGGTTTTGTTCTCTATTCTACGCAGTTTCCATGGTGATGGGCATCCCCACGGTGAAGCGGAAAGTAAAGTCATACCTGTCAGAGACGCTTCATTCACTCATCGATAAACTCTCGGCGGAGGAGAAGCTTGACTGCGTCATCATAGTGTTCGTGGGAGAGGTGAGCATTTTTCTCATTGGTTTGAGAAAGTGTGTTTGTGTTTGAGGATTGTGGCTGGCTCTGACTTACAGTTAGTGACGTTTTTTTCATAAGCAACTTGTTATGATGGAAATTACTGTGCCATGCTCACACTCAAACACTGACTAAACAAGTGTCTCTCAATGAGGTTCTAATGGTGCCACTGACAACCGGGAAAAAGTGTTTTAAGGGCATTTTTTTTACTTTTTGTCCAGGCCTTTCCCCCTTGGGCATCCCTTGCAGGGGAATTATTTAAATTCGGGATATTGTGTATGTGTATGTTCCCGCAAGAAAACTCAAGGAAGATCCGAAACAGCACTTACTGGTGTGGACTTTGTGCTTTGTGACTTTGCAGACCTTTTCATGCTCAAACAGCAGCATTATGCACTAAATTATGTTGAAAGTGTACAAAGCATAATTGGACCTCTTTAAACAGTTATAGTTCACACAGTGGCACTGTATCATGTTTGCTTTATGTTCAGTGTAAGATCTGAGTTGTTAGACCACCCGTTGAGGGGTGTGGGCGGTTCACGCTGAGAGCAGGGGTCTCTATGCTTTTATGCTGCTGTCTGAACGGTAGAGCAAGAGGAACAGACACGCAGACATACCCGTCAGGATTTGTCTCCCGCTTCATCTGTTGCCACAATTTTGTATGTCTGAACACAGAGTGGGAGGGAAAAATTTAGCTTGAATTTAGTAAATCTAAAAGTAGAAAACGCTGGGTGATATTATGTTAAATATCTCTCTTTATTTATAGCTTTTTAATGGTAATTTGCATTTGTTTTGAAATTGATTAAATGGGTGATTTTGGCCAAACAGACATTGTTGGCAGCAGTATTTACCCACATTTTTAACCGAACCATTTAAAAATATACACTGCTGTTTGTGGTCAGTAAGATTTTTTTGATGGAAATGAATACTTCTGTTCATTAAGAATGCGTTATATTATTCGAAAGTGACAGTAAAGACATTTAAAATGTTACAGAATAGGGTTGTGACGGTGAGGAAATTTTCCCACCGGTTAATCGACATGTGACAACACCGGTAATACCGGTATCACCGTGGGGGCGGGGGCGTTCCCTCTTTTCCTGCTTTCCTTCGCTGTTAAATAGCTTGTAAAATCTGCATGCGCATTTTACTTTCACTTTCGAATTAGCGGCAGTTAGGCTTCAATTGCTTGAATGCAACAACAAAATACGTCAAACTCACTTTAGCCTATATATAAAACATAGAACTTTTATTAACAAAACAAATAAAAATACACCATGCTATAGGGCAGGCTATGCCTAATATAGAATAACAAATAACTTACAAAGTTTAAATAGGTATACAAAACTGGAAATAGGCTAAGTAAACATGTATAATATATAACCAAATAAATAAGAAACGTAGAACGTTTATTAGCAAAACGAGTAAGAAAGCTTGGAGGCACGGCATACACCTTGATGTAAAAATAAAAAAATAAATGACACAAAGTTTAAATAAAGTAAAAATCAGCAAACAATGTGGAACCAATTAAATAAGAAATGAATGTTTAAAAAAAACTTCCAAAATCACCTTAGATAAACGGCAAAAGTCAACAGGCTTTTCAAAATCCAAAATATTGCCAAACAGGCGCTTTTGCATCT